GGTCGTTTTGAGCGCCTGTTGGGCTGTGTTGGGCCTTCTTGAGTCGTTTTCGGGCCATCTTGGAAGCCTCTTGGGCCGTCTTGGGGCTGTCTTGAGGGCCTCTAGGGCCGTCTGGAAGCGACGGGGTACGGACAAGGCAAAACCGCCCAAATTGTTCAAACACCAGAGGCAAACACATGATGTTTGCCTCCTGGGGTCCTCGGGCCTCTTTCTTGTCTGAATCGCACGACTCGTCCTCGATCGGCTCTCGCTGGAGAGGTCGGGGACGAGCTGGGAAGTGATGATGAAGATATTAGTGTTCGTTTTCTTATTCATTGTTTTGCCGATCGGCACGGGCCGTCACCCCCCTCCCCCATTGGGTAGATCTCGGCTTCTTTTGGCGTCTGTTTCAAGCAGGTGGAGTCTCCCCCATAGGACGCACTGTTGCAAACAGTCGCATTCAGCAGAGGTCTGCAGCCAGATCCCCCCCTCCCCCCCCCTTCCGCCCAATGTCGAAACGCCGAACAAGAAAACGCTCACGTATCGCAATCATCTTATGGACACCTCTTGCCCACGGCATTGCTGGCCGCGCACCCCCCTGCGCGGTCTGCCAGGCACGGCCAGGCCTCCGTCAGAAGAAGTTCTAGACGCTTCGCGTAACCCCATCAGTCCCCAGCAGCAGCCCCTCAGCGCCGCTTCTGAGCGCTGGCCCGGCCGTCTTGCGCGTCGCTCAGTAGCTAATCAGGCTGGCCCGCGTCCCGGACCCCCCTTTCGGCGACAGCTTCACTTGTCTGCCCGCGACCCCCCCCCAAAAAGTAACCCCACCAGTGGCGTGCGCGTTGCTAATTTGACATGCCCGTGGCCCGGACCTCTCAGCCCGGCGACTGCGAATCCGCGTCCGCCCGCTACCAAAAAAAAGTAACCCCACCAGTGGCCCGGACCTTTCAACTCGGCGCCTGCGCTTTCGCTTGCGCCCGCGAGGAAAAAGGAACCCCACCAGCCCATCCAGAAACGATGCCCAGAGGAGTTGCATCGATCAGGGAAGTCCACAGCGCCCAGAGGAAAGGCCCCCAGTGGAGGCCTCTTGGAGCGTCTTGGGGGCCTCTTGGCTGTCCCGGAGGCGTCTTGGAGCGTCTTGGGTGCCTCGTGGGGGCCTCTTGGAGGCCTCTTGGGCGCCTCTTGGAGCCTCCTGGGGCTTCCTGGGCGCCTTTTTGGGCCCTCTTGAAGCGCTCTTGGGAGCCTTGGGAACGCTCGCCATGTTGGAGGACATCGATCAAACAAGGGGGGGGCTTGAATTAGTTAGCGGTGCCACTCCAAGAGGCCAACATGGGTTTAAAATGTTAGTAAAACCGTGGTTTTGGCTTCCTCGCCGAGGCCGTTCTGGATGCCCTAACACCTCGCGACCGGCCCCGTCCAGGTCCAGGGGATGGGGATAGGGGGAGGGGTCAAGCTACCCACCCGCCCGCAAGCCGTTTAGCTCACTCCCACCCGCTCTCCCAGCACATAAGTAACACCAGAGCCTGAGCATGTTCAGCGGTCGTCTTGCAATGGACAGCTACAGGGAGCCAAAGCCGACCCCTGATGCGCGACTTTTGGGCGAGGTGCGCCACGCGTGCCAGGGGCGCCACGTGTTCAGAGTGCGCCAGGTGTGCCGCACACTCCAGCCGCGCCAGGTGCGCCACGTTCGGGGCACGCGCATAGTGCGTGAGGTGCGCCTGCGCACGTGACAGCACACATCGGGAAACATGTCGGCCCCCCGCCATCCTTGTCGAAAACAAATGCCCTTCATTGTGTCTGGTGGGCCTGCGCACTGCAGGCCATGCGCCACCCCCCCCGCCGGCCCTGTCAAAAACCACTTGACAGTGATCGCGGGATGGCCGCGCACGATCCAGATTTAGCCGCGAGGTGCCTGTTGTATTGTTTGTTGTCAGCGATGGTAGCCCTGCGCGCAGCAGGGAGTAAGCTGGCACCCCCGCCGTCACTGTCAAAAACCATACAAAGTGCTCGCGGGTTACAGGAACATGATTCAAGACCTTGCCCAAAAGTGCATCTTGCATTGTTTTTTGATGGGGATGGTGGTGGTGGTGGGGGCACATCGAGTTGGCCGCGCATGTTCCAAATTTGGAGGCAAAACGCGGTTTGTATTGTTTTTTGACGGATGGTGGGGGGCGGGCCCGCATGGAGTCGGCATGGTTCCGAGTTGGCCGCCGGCCGGGTGGGGGAGGGGTGTTAGTGATACATCTTTCCCCGAGGGGGACGAGGGGCAGATGGCAGACAAAACGCACTAGACCACCCACGCTCGAAGGGGCTGGTGGGATTCCCGCCCTCCCTCGCCCGAGCCGAGGATGGCAGGAGAAAGGACGCGGCAGAGGGGCAGGAGGATGGGCCACGAGACGTCCTCCTGCGTGGCAGTCGGATCCTGGGGGCCTCGCTGGGCGTCCTGGGGGCCTCTATAGGGCCGTCCTGGGGGCCTTCGCGCGCGTCCTGGAGCGACCGCTCGGCGACCCCGGGGCCCTCCGCGTGCCGTCCGGGAGGCCTCTCGGGGCCTCCGCGGGTCCGCCTCGGGGGGCCCCTGGGCCGTCCTGGGGGGCCGTCGTGGGCGTCCTGGAGCTATCGCTGGGCGACCCCGGGGCCTTCCGCGTGCCGGCCGGGGGGGCCTCCACGGGGCCTCCGCGGGTGCGCCTCGGGCCCCCCCCCCCTTTTGGGGGGCTCGAGCGGGGCGCGCGGCGGGCCGCGCCAAGAAGCCCCAAGGGGGGGGGGCACGCGGCGAGGCTCCGTGAGAGGTGCGGCGACGTGGGCGCTCGGGCGCCCTCTGGAGGAGCTCCTCGGGGAGGAGGGCCGAGGCGCAGGGGGGATTGGGCCAAGGTCCGTGCCCAGAGGCACGGTGACGGAGATGTGTGTGTGTGTATATATATATACATACACATGCATGCATATACATAGAGAGAGAGAGGGAGCAAGAGAGAGAAAGAGAGTGGCACGTATATCTATGTGAGTTTGTACGCGTTTTCCGCAGAAGGGGAGGCCTTCGGACAACACGGTGCTTTCTGTTGCATCCGTAGTCGCTCCTTTTTTGCTCAGAAAGGCCCGCCCGGGCCGCTCGTTCTGGCGCCACGCACTTCTCTCAGGACAAGCTGCACTTTCTGTACTCCGTCCTTCGAGACGTTGTAGCCTTCAACTCCCCGGCCCGTGAGCCGGTCTGCCATTGTCATTTTGAGGGAAATCAGTGCGAGCCAATCTCGGACACGGGCTGCAAGCACATCGAACGCATTCTGACACGGCAGTTGGAGTCAGTCCAGAGCCAGCTCAGTTCATCGGTGACGGTAACGTTCAGCATCAGTCTCGCCTTCAGTTTCAGCTTGGTCTTCTTCTTGGCCGGGCTTCTCGTGGGACGGTGCACCTCGCGGCGCACGTCGACGTCCACTTCATCGGCCCCCATCTTCGAGCAGCAGGCGACAACCCGTGTGAGGAGTGGTCCAGCAACCCCGGCATCATTGCGGCTGGCTGATCAACAATGAGTGCTTTGGATGTCAAAGAGAGGCAGATCTTGGTGCGCTACGATGACGATGCTAACTTTACCTGGCATCATCGTCTATTGCTCGTTCGGATCTCTTCGGGCAGGTGGGTGGTCCTCACCCCGACAGGTGACTTGCAGATCCTGGACACCGCCACGGTCAGGTTTGAGCCGCTGGCTCGGGGCAGGCCCGTGCCAGAGAGGTGTCGGAACGACTGCTTCCTTTTCGACCCGATCCCTATTAGGGAGCTCAGCGAGGCCATTGCACGCGCGAAGGTGCTGGCCGACATCGCTGGGGAGGACATCGAGGTGGATGACGCCGAGGTCTGGGTGGTCTCTGATACGTCTCACCCGAGGTTCGGGGAGCAGGTGGAGCCCGGCATCCTGGATGACGCTGGGCGGGCCCTGCTCCGGGACACCAAGGGGGTGGTGCAGCTCGACGCCAACGACGCCTCGACGGAGGTGCACGTGGAGCGCGTTCACCAGAACGACCTGGCGGACTGGAAGAGTCGGGTCGGCGGTGGAGGCGACCTGCGGCTCCTCGGCACCTTCCGTACGGCAGGAGGCAAGCGCTTCCTCCAGGCGAAAGACGCAGTGGGCAAGCTCGAGGAGACTAAGTTCGACGACTTCCCGTTTGCTGACCCGCGTGCGGTCAAAGAGTACCTGGACGGGATCCTGGAGACCACCGATGGCTCGTTCGACCGCTACCATCAGAACTGGTGCGTGGCGGCCGGGGTCTCGCCTAACAGTGGGATCGCGCATGACCATCGTATCATCTTGGAGGCGCTGCGCTTGGGGCTCACCTATGACCAGTACAACCTGGCAAACTCTGCCATGGGTGAGCAGCTCGTCAGGAGGCTCATCCAGCATGAGCTCGCAGTGGAGAAGGACGCGAGGCACCCCGACTACAGCGGGCTCGGCTACATGTTGGCGGGCTCGACGGAGGACAAGGGGCGCGTGGCCGTTCCCAAGTTCACCAGGTGGGTCGCCGAGAAGCAGCACCAGCGGGCCTTTACCCTCAAGCAGTCGCGTCTACTTCGAGAGGAGCGGGCCGCCGAGGACAAGAGGCGCGGTGGCAACCAGAAAGGTTTCAAGGGCGCCTCCAAGGGGACCAAGGGCGACGCCGCCGACGGCGGCAAGGGAGGGCAGGGCTAGCAGCCTTCGCCGCCCACGCGGGACCGAGTACCTGGTCGGTCTTGCTGTCACTAACTTCGTACAGGTAGGAGCCTCCAGTCTGTTGCTTCGGGCTCCGAGTTTTGTATGCCGTGGTCATCACGATCATGGTCGGCGGCGGCATGGTGATCCTCTTCCCTTGCCAGCTCGCTTGGTGAAGGGCTCCCTCGGGGGCTCCGGACGCCGGTGGCGAGGAATGCGCGGGCAACCTGGACATCAAGACCAGCGTCTTGTCGAGTCGGTTCGCTCACTCAACTTCCTGTATCGCACCAGAGTATGTTCAGACGTGAACTGCCTATACCGTGGCAGTTCGGGCAAGGCCTCTTCTTCACAGATGTCCATCCTGAGGTCTCTGGATGACCGCATCTCTCTCTACGGCGAACGGCCGCGAGACCTGACCCCGCTGAGCGCGCTCAACGAAGTGTGCAAAGCGAAAGACCTGTACACGCAGGAGCCACAACACATGGCGCCGTACCTTCCTGACAAGCTGAAGGTGACGAAGGGCGCCACCACCCCGCTCCCTCTAGAGTCCGTGCTCCCTGCCGGCGCTCTGCGGCTGGCGACGGACTTCAAGAAACACGTGTTGAAGAGTGAGAGTGAGCTTGAGGCAGATCGTTTGAGAGGCGTCTCTGTCACTCCGTACTGGTGTCCGGACCTGCGGCGCTCAAAGCAGCGCCGCCGCGAGCTGTTCGCTACGCTGTGCGACCGCCAGCTTCTCACCTTCAGGCGACGCATCTTTTCGAGGGTCTCAATCTTCTTCGTCTGGAAGAAGACAGGTATGACCAGGCTGATTGTGGACGCCCGCTCGACCAACGAGAAGTGCCGGATGCCCCCTCACACGGACTTGGGCACGATCGCCGCCTTGGCGGACGTGGATCTCAGCCTGGCCGAGCTCTCCGATATCGCGGACGCCGAGCTGAGCACCGAGGAGGAGGCCGAGCTTCTCAAGGGGCAGGGCGGGCTTTTCTCTCTCCCTTTCTCTGGGAGCTCTCTGGACGTGGTCGACGGCTTCTACCAGTTTGACAACTGGCGTATGGCGAGCTGGTTCGGGATGGATGATCCCGACGAGGCTGGCGTCTACGGAGTCACCGAGGTCTGGGATGACGACCTCGAGGAGATGGTGCCGCTGCAGCCCACTGACATCGTGTACCCCTGCTTCAGAGCGCTTAGCATGGGTTTTACGTGGGCTCTCTATTTTTGTCATTCAGCTGTGGAGCATATCGTCGCTGCCGGGGTCCCTGGAGGCGCCTCTCGCGCTGCTCGGGAGAAGCACCGGGCGCCGCAGGCCTCGTTTGCAAGCCCGATCACCTCGACCTACGTCGACAACGCGGCCCTGCTGTCTGCTAATACCAGTACTTCAGACCTACAGACTGTTCTTCATCAGTTCTCTGCGCGTGACATGCGCACACACGACATAGTAGAGCACACCTTTGCGCTAGAGCACTTGGGCGCCGTCTTCGACGGACATCGGCGTCTTCTGCATCACCAGCCGCGCCGAGTGTGGCGGGTGTACCTGGCCGGCAAAGAACTACTCCGACGTCGGCGACTTCGAGGTGAGGTCCTTCGAGTCTGGATCGGCCACGTGGTGCACCTCTTCATGCTCAACAGGCCGGCGTTGTCCTGTCTGTGGGCAGTCTACCAGTTCATCCAGCATGCACTCGAGCGGCGGTGCCGGGTGTGGGGCTCTGTGCGCCAGGAGATTAAGGTGATTCTGGGTCTAGTCTTCCTCTGCCAGCGCGACTTGAGTGCTCCACGGTTGCGGATGGCCTACTGCTCTGACTCCTCTGACTTGGGGTACTGCTTGGCGGTCACGAGCGCCTCGGATGCTGAGCTTAGGGAGGCGGCAGCTTATCACGAACGATGGCGTTTCATTGAGGATCGGTCGGACCCGCGGTGCGAGCTGGTCCCCTACCTCGAGCTCTGCGACAGCGCTGGCCTCTCGCCCCTGGGGGGCTCGCCAGAGCCGTGGCGTGAGGATCACGTGCCACCCGCCGTGGCTGCTCCTCCTCGCCCTCCCACTCAGCTGGAGCGCCAGCATCGGGAGGGAAGTGACAGGCTCGCCCCTGGAGGAGTTCGCCGAGCACTTCGAGAGCGAGTCCTACGGGAGGATCCTCGTCAGGTGCCCGCACTCGGTCCCAACTGGGACCCGCCCGAGCGCTGGAAGACCCTCTTCGAGCGGAAGTGGAATGACCCAACTGAGCACATCAACACCAAGGAGGGCAGGGTGATGCTGGCGGGACTTCGGCGTGCCTGCCGCAACCCGCGCTGCCACAAGAAGCGGCTCCTTTCCCTCTCCGACAGCCTGGTCGCCTGTTGCGCCTTTGATCGAGGGCGTGGGCGAGGCGCGGAGAAGACCAACTGGGGCCTTCGCTATCTTGGCCAACGGGCAGCAGCTCTGCAGATCGCCTGCGATATCCAGTGGGCGACTCGACACCTCGAGGGAGTTCGCAACCCCACGGACGCGGGCTCTCGCCGTTTTGACGGAGGTGCTGACCCGACGGAGAAGGCGCGCAACCTCGGCTTGGAGCGGGGCGGTCATGACATGGCTATCGTTCGCGCCTCCTGCCGGGTTCGCCCCTCCGGTGGCGCGTCAGGCGCGCTGGCCCGTCTTCTGCACTTGCCAGGCGTCGCTGCCGTACGAGCGGCGCCCGCTGCCTCGAGAAAAAAGAAGACGCACTTCGTCATGCCTGAAGACACCCCTGCGGGTGCGTGTCCATCCTCCTCTACCTGTCCCTCTGGGACTCAGGCCCCCTCTCCGGGCTCATCAAGGAGGCCCCCATCATCGAGTACGGCGCCCCGCAGGACTTCTACGGGGCCTCCCACGGGCACTTCAAGGGCTTTAGCGTGTTCTTCGGCTCCCGACAGGACCTCCTCAGGGACTCCATCAAGGTGCTCACACGCCCCAGTCTTGGAGGCCTCCAAGCCCAAGGGCTACGACTTGAACCGCACGCTGCGCTTTAGGAGAGGGGCGATCTTTTTGGAGCTGTTCGCGGGCCACGAGGGCCTCACCAGGGCCGTGGCCTCTCTAGGCGTTCCAAGTGGAGAAGGTATCGAGCTCTCGAAAGGCCCCGAGTATGACCTCTTGGACCCCGGCATCAGGCAGTACATCATCGGTCTCATTCAACGGGGCAAAGTTCTATGTGTGTGGTTGGGGACCCCTTGCAGTGCCTTCAGTATAGCGAGGCGAGGCGTTCGGAATCCAGAAGTTGCTCGTGAAAAGGACTGGCTGGGGGCCCAGCACGCATGGTTTTCGTCAGAAGTTATTCGTGAATGTCTGAAATACAACGTGGCCTTTGTCTTGGAGAATCCTCTCACGTCTCGTCTCTGGGGCTTTGAGCCGATCATGGAAATCATGTCTTACTCACGTGTCTCAGTTGTTGAATTTCACGCTTGCGGTTTTGAGGGAACCATCAAGAAACCTACTCGGTTGATTGGCACTCTTCCTGGCCTGGAGCAGCTGTCTAAAAGATGTTCTGGCGGCCACGTTCACACGGTTGTGACGGGTAAGTTCTATCTCTGGAATGCTGACAAGCAGGCATATCGATGGACGCAAGCTTCTCGAGCCGCAGGAGTCTACGGCTCAAAGTTCTGCTTCAATGTAGCACGGCTGGTTCGGGCCCACGCACAGCGGCATCATATCTTCCCCTTTTCTCAGGATGCCACGGCTCGACACATCGTTAGCTCGGCCAGCCTCCAACAAGCGCACGATCCAAACCTCCGGCGTCGTCAGCGAGGGGGCTTTGACCAGTGGAAGTCGGCCCCGCACGTCGGCGACGAGCTCGACAGGGTCCCGGGCAGGCTCATCGCTTACGTCGGCCAGCAGTGGCGCGACCTTGCGCGCTCCCGCGCAGAGGCTCGGCGCTCGACGACAGCGTCTCGCGCGCCCGCCTGCTGCGCGACACGGGCCTGCCCCTCTGCCTCGGAACCTGGTCGAGAACAGCGTCTCGGCCACCACCCTGCACACCTACAAGGCGGAGGTCGGCGAGTTCGAGGCTTGGGCAGCTGGCAGGGTGCGCAGCCTCCGCACGCACGAGGCGGCAGACTCTGCGATGTCGGACTACTTCGAGTGGCTCTACGCCCAGAGAGAGCAGCCGCAGATTGGCAGGTGGGCCCTGTACGGCTACGCGCTGCTGAGGCTCTCGCATCTGGGCCGCGGAGGGCACGTCCTGCCCAGGGCCAAGGCAGCTCTTCGAGGTTGGATTCGCCAGATGCCCGGTCGCATTCGTGACCCTTGTCCCATCGAGGCGGCCTGGTTGATAGTTCAGTGGCTTCTTCTCAAGAATCAAGCTTTCTACTTCTGGTGTGCCCTTGCTGTGGTGTTGCAAGTGGATACCTATGTCCGCCCGGGCGCCTTGATGGGCATCAAGCGAGAAGACCTATTGCCCCCAATTCGCCAACGTGGCTCACGCTACACCGATTGGGGCCTCGTTCTCTCTCCCAGCACCCGAGCTGGCAAGACCAAGTCTGGCGAGCAAGATGACACGTTGGTCATTGGTATCCTCGACCGCACCTTTGTGAAGGATGTGGCCGCTTTCTTGCATGGGTCCGCTCACGATGGTGAGCGAGTCTTCCGCCACCTCACACTCCCGTCTTACGAGAAGTCCATCAAAGAAGCCTCAGAGGCGCTGGAGCTGGATGCCCTGAGGATTGTGCCGCATTGTTTCCGACACACTGGCCCCTCGACTGATGCCTATCTCAATGCCCTCAGCATCCAGCAGATTCAAGATCGTGGAAAATGGAAGTGCCCCGCCTCGGTGAGGCGCTACGAGAAGCACGCAGCTCTTCTACGTCAGTTGCACAAAATGACACCCCGCCAGCGGCGGGAGGCTATTGCTGCCGGTCGACAACTCCCGGACCTGCTCAAGCACGCTTTTCGCCAGTATCGTTAAAGTGCCGACCAGCTACCCCACCGCCACCCTGAACATTATTATGCGTATGGGAGGTTTCTTTCACAGTGTGCCGACGCACACGCGAAGCGCTTCGAGTTTCTCTCTGACTTCGTTGTGGATGGATCTACGCTTCATCATGTCTGAAAACGAAGTTCCACAGCGTGATAGTGCGTCGGCTTTGCCCGTTTCCGCCGCTTCCTTGAAGGCCGCTTGAGACACTGTGCGAATGTGAGTTTGTACGCGTTTTCCGCAGAAGGGGAGGCCTTCGGACAACACGGTGCTTTCTGTTGCATCCGTAGTCGCTCCTTTTTTGCTCACCTCCCTGTCCCCGCCTGCCACCCTTCTTTCTTTGGGACGAGGTGACTCCCTGCAGAGGGAGGTTTCTTTCACAGTGTGCCGACGCACACGCGAAGCGCTTCGAGTTTCTCTCTGACTTCGTTGTGGATGGATCTACGCTTCATCATGTCTGAAAACGAAGTTCCACAGCGTGATAGTGCGTCGGCTTTGCCCGTTTCCGCCGCTTCCTTGAAGGCCGCTTGAGACACTGTGCGAATATATATATATATATATATATATATATATATATATATATATATATATATATATATACATATATCTCGCAACAAGACATACGTACTCCAGACCAATAAGCAACTATAGCAATATAACATGTATGTGCGCTCTGCGACCATGGTATTATATTATATATACGTGTACGTCGAAAGATATTCTAAGCGCTTCCTTAATCCCACCAGCCCATCCAGAAACAATGCGCAGGCGAGTTGCCCTGATTCTCCAGGCTCACGCCACATCCGCCGACCCCTTGATTCGTACCGGCGGCTATCGCCGCGTTTCCGCCTTCACTGCTCGTAGCTGCCAGGCGTTACAGTGCAGTGGCAAGTGCCAGAAGAAAAGATTGAGAGGCATGGCAAAGCGCATGGAAAAATGTACGTTTCACGAAGGGAACGGGCCAAATTTTGCGCCGAGGGGCCCTCCTGGGACGCATCTTGGAGGCCTCTTGGGGCCTCTTGGGGCCGTCTTGGGCCGTCTGGAGGCGATCGTCGGTGTCTTTGATCGCTCTTCGACCGTCTGTGACCATATGGAGCTCTCTTGGAGGCCACTTAAAGCGCTCTTTGGGCCGTCTTCGGGGCCCTCTTGGGCAATCTTGGGCGCCTCTTGGGCTGTCTTGGGGCTTTCTTGGGCTGCCTTGGAGCTTCCCTGGAGGCTGCTTGGACCGTCTTGGGGCGGTATTTAGGGCCTCTTGGGCCGTCTGGGAGCGTCGGAAAGCCCAAAAAGCGAATTCGTGAAAAATGTACGTTTTACGAAGGGAATGGGCCAATTTTTGCGTTTAGGGACCCTCGTGGGATGCATCTTGGAGGCCTCTTGGGGCCTCTTGGGGACCTCTTGGGCCGTCTTGGAGGCCTCTTAGCCCGTCTTTGAGCCATCTTGGGCGTCTTGGAGCGCTCGTTTGGCGTCTCGGGGCTCCCGTGGGCCGTCTTGAAGGCCTCTTGGGGCCATCTTGGCCCGTCTTGAGGCTTCCTGGGGCCCGGAAAAGCCCCGGCGGCGCTCGTCCCGGGCCCGGGGGGGGCGCTCGTCCCGGGCCCGGGGGGGGCGCTCGTCCCGGGCCCGGGGGGGGCGCTCGTCCCGGGCCCGGGGGGGGGGGGTCAAATCGCCGGTTTGGGGTCCCGGGGGGGGGACTATAGGGGGGGGAACTATCTCACACGCCTAGAGACCCACAAGGGGTCGGCGGATTAGGGAAATGGAGGAACACGCAATGGAATAAACGGTTCGGAAGCTTCCGTACCCCAAGCAGGGGAGGATGTAGGAGTAATCGCAGGAGGAGGGGGAGGAGGAGGAGGGCGGGGAAGGGGAGGGGGATGGGGGAGGCAGACAAGCTAGGTGCGCTCGCGTTATATCTGACGTCCTACTCCTCCCTCCCATCCCTTAGCATGGCGCAGATCTCCCCTATTCGTACAATCGGATATCATGGCAGGCGTAGCATTACATGGCATAGCATGGTGGTGAAGACTAACGCGTGGCATGACATAGCATGGTGTGGCGACGCCCCAAAATGAGGGGGGCGGCTTCTGCGGCGCAATAAATCAAAGAACCGGCACCGAATGTATAATCACTTCCGATGGTTTCTACGGGAGGCATTTTTTGGTTTGGGGGCATATTGAGAGGGACCGAACATTATGCCGTGGCATGGCACTTGAAATAACGCCGCCAGCGCTGCAGCGGGAGCACGATTTGGAACGACCACAAGCGCGACAATGAGGCCAGCGTTGCAGCGGGAGCACGATTCCGAACGAGCGGTACCCCGAAAATGAGGCCAACGCTTCAGCGAGAGCAGCACTTAAAACAACGAATAAACAAACCTAAGCGCGGAAGCGCGGAACTGAGCACGCCTAGCTTGACATAGCATGGCGTGGCCACGCCCCAAAGGAAGGGGGCTTCTGCGGCGCAATAAATCAACAATTCGACACCGAATGTGTATCACTTCCGATGTTTTTTTTCGGAGGGGGGGGCATTTTCTAGATTTGCTGGCCATTTGGGAGGAACGAAAACCATGCCGTGGCATGGCGCTGGAAGTAATGACGCCAACGTTGCAACGGGAGCACGATTCGGAACGAGCGGAAGCGCGGAAATGAGGACAGCGCTGCAGCGGGAGCACGACTCGGAACGAGCGGTAGCCCGAAAATGAGGCCAGCGTTTCAGCGAGAGCAGAATATTTCACAAAAAAAACACTCAAGCGCGGAAGCGCGGACATGAGCACGCCTAGCTTGACATGGCATGGCGTGGCGACGCCCCAAAATGAGGGGGGGGGCTTTTGCGGCGCAGTAAATCAACAAATCGACACCGAATGTGTATTCATTTCCGATGTTTTTTTTCGGGGGGGACATTTTCCAGATTGTGAGGCCGATTTGGAAGGATCGAAAAGCATGCAGTGGCATGGCGCTGGACATAATGACGCCAGCGCTGCAGCGGGAGCACGATTCGGAACGAACGGAAGCCCGGAAATGCGGACAGCGCTGCAGCGGGACCACGATTCGGAACGAGCGGTAGCCCGAAAATGAGGCCAGCGTTTCAGCGAGAGCAGCATTTCGACAAGCGAAAACCCGTTCCCTGGAAATCTTGGGTGCAAAAAACCAGTAACCAGTACGCGGAGAGGGGCCGGCCATTTCCCAGACGCCACCAGGAAAAAGAGGAGAGTAGTATTCTGATTGTTTAATTATGGAGGGAGGAGAATGGAGGGAGGAGGAGGAGGAGCAGGAGGAGGAGGAATAGGAGGCTGAGAAGGAGGAGGAAGGAGAAGGAGGAGGAGGAGGAGGAGGAGGAGGAGGAGGGAGAGAAGTAGGAAGACAAACATACTCCAGAGGCATCTGGGATGTCTCTAGAGAATGTATTGGAGTTTTACCGGGGCGCCTTGGCAGCGTCTTGGCGGTCCCAGGGGCCTCGTGGATCGTCTCGGGTGCCTCTGTAGACCCTCTTGGGGTCTCTTGGGGGTTGGGAGGCGTTTTGAAGACTTGTTGTTCTGGGACGTCTTGGGGCCCCTCTTGGTGCCCCTCTTGGGGCATCCCCGGAAGCCTCGGGGGCCATCCTGGGCCCATCCTGGAGGAGATCGATCAAAGAAGAGGAGGTGCTCAATTGCCCCCTCCTCCCCCTTCCAGGAGGCCAGAACGCAGCCAAAAAGTAATTCCTAACATTCCCCTCGCCCCTTTCAGCTGCCCTATGTTCTCTTCCTCTGCAGGGAGGGAGAGGGAACCTCTCCAAAACTGTTCAGTTACTCAGAGCAAGACGCGCGCGCGGCCCGCCTGCCCGGCCGGCCGGCCGGCCCGCGCCGTTCACACACACACGCACACATGATTATTGAGATCATGATTGCACTGTTTAGAGCAACTCCGCCCTCCTCCTCCTCCTCCTCCCCCCTCCTCCTCTTCCTCCTCCTCCTCCCCCCCTCCTCCTCCTCCTCCTCCTCCTCCTCCTCCTCCTCCTCCTCCTCCTCCTCCTCCTCCTCCTCCTCCTCCTCCTCCCCCCATTATTGATCTCATTACCGCTTTAAAGGGCTGAGCTAGCTATGTACTCACCTCTTCGTCGTGGGAGGCTGGCCTCTTATGACCGAGCATCTTCTTTGGGTGGAGGGCAACAGGTGAAATCTGAAACGCCGTTTCGACTGATCTTCGAGGCCCGAATCTGCAAAAGGTGAACCACAGGACGGATTGATTCCGAGGTGCAGGAGCCCATATGGATTTCACCCTGAGCCCTCCACCCTAAGAGGATGCTCAGTATGAGCTACACGAAGGAGAAGAGCAACACGCAGAACAACCCAGTTAATATCAAGAAGCATGTGCCCGACATGTTGATCGATCGGCCAAACATTCAAAGCCTAACTAACATCAATTAGGTGTGCCTTCCCGCCGAGGCCTGGAACGTTCCAATCGGTCGCGGACCCCCCCGCCCAGGTCCAGGGTCTGGGGGTAGGGGGGGCCCTTCCTCGAACGGCGAAAGGGGGTTGGAAGAGACAGCGCTCTAAACCCTTCGCGTCGCGAAGGGCTGGTGGGATCTCGAGTGAGAGAGAGAGGGAGATAGAGAGAGAGAGAACAGAAAACAACAAAACAAGAGAGAGGGAAATTAACATACAGAGTGAGAGAAAGAGAGAGACAGATAGAGAGAGGGTGTATCTACAGGTATAGAAAATTGAGACAGACAGGGAAGAGAGTCAGAGAGACAGAGATATATTGAGATATTATACATACATACATACAGAGAGAGAGAGAGCTAGAGAGAGACATAGAGAAACAGCAAGAGAGAGAGAGAGAGCGGCCATACTGAGAGAGTAGACAACACTAACGAGATGGCGTACTAGATAGGATACAGCAGGAGGCTTTCTCTGGTGTGGCCATCGCCACTCGCTGCAAACACCTACGCGGCGGCATGCGCGCCCCTCGTGAAGCCAAGACGCCGAAATCAGGAACAGCTTGGGTGTGAACGGGGCTCGATGTTCCTTAGGTCGTTCTGCGCTTGTTTTTCTATCCCTCCCCGTGCGCGCTGGTTCTTGTTGGAGTCAATCTTGTATTTACCGTTCCTTATATGTACCGTTCCTTATGTTCTTATGCTATTTGTATGTCTACCGTTCCTTATATCTACGGTTCCTTATATCTACCGTTCCTTATTTCTACCGTTCCTTATGTTCTTATGCTATTTATATGTATACCGTTCCTTATAGCTACGGCTCCTTATATCTACCGCTCCTTATTTTTACCGTTCCTTATGTTCTTATGCTATTTATATGTGTATACCGTTCCTTATAGCTACGGCTCCTTAACTATATCTACCGCTCCTTATTCTTACCCTTCCTTATGTTTACCGCTTTTAACGAAAAAGGGGCTTCGCTCCTCACATCTGCCGCTCCTCCTCTCTCCGCGGCCCGACCGCCTGCCCGGGGCGTCTGCCCGGGGCGCCGCGGGAGGCGCCTGCAGGGGAGTACGCGTGGGGATCGGCCCCGCCCCCGGGGCAGCCGCTCGGACCTCCGGGCAGCGCGTGCTCGTGCCGCTCCCGGGCGGCGGAACCAAGCGGGGGACCCAGACCCCCTCGAGTAATGAAAAAATCACGACGGGAGGTTTTTCCTAATTTTCGGCCTCCGGGGGCCCTCACCGGGCCTCGGGAGCGTCAAAAAACGACTCAGGATGCAAAGCCGGTCATAGGGAAAGGGTCGGGACCTCTGGGGGTCGACGTAATGAAAAAATCATTACGTCGGGGGTTGGGACGTGGGACTAGAAGGGGGCCTTCTCGGGAGGCGCCGGGGGGCTTCAAATTCTCGGAGGAGCCTTCCGTGCGGCCTTGCGTGAAGTTTTTTTGGGGCGCCCGGCAGGGGCACGGGAAGAAGGGGTGCGGTGCCCAGCAGCAGATCCTGGTCATTTTGAACAGGATCCGCTGTCCACGCCGCCGCGGCCTGTGTCCATTCGAGACAGAGGGCCGCCTGCCCAACAGCGGCCGCTGTTGGTTTGGGACAACATTTGCTGTTGGGCATTGTACCCATTTTTTCGGTATGTACCCATTTCGGGCGTCCAAAAAGTTCGCGGTGTCGCCGAGGGAAGCTCCGCCCAGAAGGCGGGAAGACTTCTGAGCCTTCTGGAAGGGCCCGCCCCCTCCCTCCCCCCCCCCTGGCGCGCCGCCGAGCCGCGGCTTCGCTCGTCCATCGAGCCAGCGAGGTGCTCGACGCGGCTCCTCGAGGCGCTCCGGCGGAGAGCCTCGAGGCTCGTCGGGCCAATGTTTCAACCTCGAGGTGCTCGATGCCAGGATCGGGCCGGGCGAAAGGGGGGGATTGGGAAAGGGGGGGTTACGAAATTTGCTGCACGCAGCTGGTTCCGGCTTCCCCGAGGGGCCCCGTCCTCGATGCATGGCCGCCTCCGGCGCCGGGAGGCGCCGGGAAGATCAGCCACGTGAGCTGATTCTCAAAGCCCCCCTTTGCTATCCCCCCCTTTCGCCCGACCCGACAGGAGGTTGCGCGGGCCTTTCTGGGGGGCAGGCTGCGGCAGGTTCCCCGGCGGGGGCAGAGGGGAGCAGCAGCAGATGGGGGAGCAGCGGGCGGGCGAGGAGAAGCGAGCGGGCGGGAGGAGGAGGAGGAGGAGGAGGAGGAGGAGGAGGAGGAGGAGGAGGAGGAGGGAGAGGGAGAGGGAGGAGGGGAGGGGAGAGGGAGAGGAGGAGGAGAGGGAGAGGGAGGGAGGGGAGAGGGAGAGGGAGAGGGAGGGAGGGAGAGGCGCGGCCCGCGGCGCGCGCGGCCCGCCCCGGGGCCCTCCTCGGACCCGAGGGCCCTGGGGCGCGAGGAGAGGGAGAGGGAGGGGGAGGGGGAGGGGGAGGGGGAGGGGGAGCAGTGGGCGGGGGAGGAGGAGGACCCGTGTTTCAGTTTAACCTTCCCTCCCAGCTCCCCCCTTTCAGCGGTCCCTGGACCTTCGGCCACACGAATCCTCTAGGCACTCGCGCACGTTTTAAGCTTGAGTGTGCGCGGCGCTGCGGCGAGAGCTCTGAAGAGAAACCATCCTCCGTCTTCGCAACTTGCTGCACAGTTTCAAGACGAATGTGTGCGGCGCTATGGCGAGAGCTTTTTTGTTTGAGAACCACCCGCCCCCCAACCGTGAAGCTGCTGCGAACTTTGAAGACGGTTGATCGCGGCACCAAGGCGGAAGCCACTTGGTGAAAGGGACCCGTCATCCACATGTGAATATGCTGCAACTTTTCAAGACGACTGCACGCGGCGCTGAGGCGAGGGCCAAGGTTTGAGAGCCACCTGCCCTCCATGCGTGAACCTGCTGTAACCGCTTGAAATCGAGTGTGCGCGGCGCTCAGGCGAGGGCCGCATTTTGAAGACGGAGCGCTCTCCACGCGTGAATTAGTGAGCTTGTTGCAGTTTTCCAAGACGAACGGGCGCGGCGCTGAGGCGAGAGCCACATCTCGAAAACAACCCGCCCTCCATTCGTGAGACCGTTGCCAACTTTGAAAATGACTGTGCGCGGCGCCAAGGCGAAAGCCCTATTTTGAAAAAGACCCGCCTTCCACCTGTGAAACGGTTGCAGCTACTCACATGTCAGGGGGTGCGACAGGGAGGAGGCATGGATTGAGGGAAATGGATGTGTTAGGGGAAGGGATGTGGAGGGTGAGGAAAAGGAGGCGACGAAGGACAAGGGAGGAAGAGGAGTGGAGGAGGAACTGTTGCAAGGAGAGGAGGGGGGAGGACGAGAGTGTGGGGGGCGACGGGGATAGGGGGGAGGGGGCAGGGGGGTGGGGGGCAGGAGGCGAGGCTGCGTGAAGGGGCGGTGGGACTGGCGATGGCAGCGCGGAGGGATGAACTGTTCTGTTTGCTTCACGTATGCAATTGTCAGGCGATCGCAAACATGGATCAAGGGGGCGTGCATCAGCGACGGGTCCCGTTTCCACGGGACATCGCGCGCCGAGTGAGGCGGCACCGGCCGCATTTTTGGGAGGGCACCTCCCCCGATCCGTGGATTCGGCGACCGCGCGCCAAGTCCATGGATCGCTCATCCATGTCTGCGCCCCCCCGGGTGAAGGGGCGGTGGGATTGGCGATGGCAGCGCGGAGGGATGACTTCTGCGGATTGTCCCGCGTGTGCAATTGGCCTCGATCGGCCAGCAGGTGGGGTGGGTTAGGTCAGAGCCCCGAATCATCAGGGGTAACTCGGGTCAGGGCTAACTCGGGTTCGCTTTTCGGGATTCCGAACCCGAGTTTGATGGGCCTGTTTTCCACCACCACCACCATAAGTTGGAGGGGGGATGGAGGAGGACGAGGAGGAGGACGAAGAGGAGGTGGAGGAGGAGGAGGTGGAGGAGGAGGAGGAGGACCCCCTCCCCCTCCAACATATGGTGGTGGTGGTGGTGGAAAACAGGCCCATCAGAGTTACCCCGGGCCCGAGTTACCCCGGAGAACTCGGGCGCCCAATGAGGGCGTCTGTTTGGAAGCCCCACCGCTGCACCGCATCTCTCCGCTCCGCTCGCGGCCCCGTCGTCGACGACGTGCTCGTTCGATGCTGCACCGCTGGCAGTGTGGCCCACGGAGCACCCTGGGAGGGGGGGGAGGGGGAGGGGAGGGGGGGGGGGAGGGAGGAGGAGGAGGAGGAGGAGGAGGAGGAGGAGGAGGAGGAAGAGGAGGAGGAGGAGGAGGAGGAGGAGGAGGAGGAGGAGGAGGAGAGGGGGAGGAGGGGGAGAAGAGGGAGGAGGGGAGGAGGAGGAGGAGGAGGAGGAGGGAGGAAGGAGAGGAGGAGGAGGAGGGTGAGTGGGAGGGGGGGGGGGGGGGGGGGGCGAAACGCGCCTCCTTTGCTGTCCGCTTGGGACCCGACCCAGAATGGAGGAGGGGGGAGCGGGAGGGAGGGAGCAGGACGGGGAGCGGGAGGGGGAGGAGGAGGAGCAGGAGGAGGACGACGCGGAGGAGTAGGAGGAGGAGGCGGATTGAAGACCAGTGTGAACCCAAGACCCACCAACAATATTGCAACACACCCTCTCTCCAGGCTCCCTCTCCACCGGCCCAAGCAAATAATCATTTGTACCGAAGGAAGTGCCCCGTTGGAAAACAACCGTTTGAAATTTTCAATTGTGCCAGAAAACCATTCCTGGGACTTCAACGCCGCAAGTCACCATCACTGGTGCGTCTTGACGATCCAGAATCCTGCCAGAACATAGTTCCTGGTACTTAAACACCACGAATCAACGTATCTGTTGCGCCCCGACATTCCGACATCGTGCCGAAGCACCGTTTCTGTGACAGTAACAACGGCAATCCTTAAAACGATTGCGAAATATAAGGGGTCATGTGCGCGACACTAAGGTGAGAGCCACATTTTGAAAAGGAGCCCTCAATCCGTGGAACCCTTGCAAACAATTCAGACGAATGCGCGCGGCGCTAAGCCAAAAATCACAAACTACCTGCTCTCCGTCTGTGACGCTTTTGTGACATGCAAAAACAACAAATGCGCGCGGCGCGAAGGCGAGAGCTTCTTTTTTGAAAACCACCCGCCCGCCACCCGTGAGACTCTTGCACATGTGTAAGACAGATGTGTGCGGCGATATGGCGAGAGCCACACTTCGGAAGCCACCTGCGTTCCATCCGTCAGACTCTTGCGAGTTGTTCAGAAGGATGCGCGCGGCACTGAGGAGAGAGCCACATGTGGAAGACCACTCACCCTTCATCCGTGAAACTGCTGCAGACTTCCAGCTTTCGGATCATACCTGGTGAGAAAGTCTCCGGAGAAACGCCCAGCCGGCCCTTCCGACCTGCCTCGGGGTGCGACGGGGAGGAGGTCTCCAGAAGGAGCAGGATTGGATGAGGAGGGGGAAGAGGAGGAGAAGGACGAGGAGTTGGAGAGGGGAGCATGGAGGAGGAGAAGGGGCAGCAGGGAGGAGGAGGAGGAGGAGGAGGATCGAGGAGGAGCAGGCGGCAGAAGCACATGCTTCGGACGTCCGCTCGGTCGACGCTGGACCCACCCCCTCCCTGGCGTGCGATCCGCGCCGAGGGCGGCGCCTCCAGGAGGCGCCGCCAGGGCAGGGCTCGCCTCGACTCTTCCCACTCGGCTCGGCTCGACCTCGAGGGCTTCCGGCTCCGCTTCGATTTCGATATGCTTGGCATCGCTCGGACGTGTGCATGCTTCCTTCGGCGAGGGCCATCGAGGAGCATCCTCGATCACTTGGCGAAGAAACCACGCGCGAAACCGAACAAAACACGGGGAATGGACGTCCGAGCGATGGCGAGTCTGGGATGCCGATCTGGATCCCGGCTTCTCCACGGAAGTTTCCCTGGCCCTGCCGTGCTCGGCCGATGCGAGCTCTCCAGGCACGGCCGCCGATGTCCGCCGAGCCGAGCCGTTTCGACTGCCGACCCGATCTCGGGATTCGATGCGCGGCTCTCTGGCCCCCTCGGCGTGCGCAGCGCGCCGAGGGCGGCGCCGGGGGCGCTGCCGGGGGGGCCAGCGCCGACCCCGAGATGTCCGCTCGGATTTCCCATCGACTGCGTTTGCAGTCGAGGTTGATCAGTAGGTCGGCCCTGCCTAAATTGCGGGCAATATTGATATCCATATCCACTGCGTCTTGGACTTTCTTGGAAGGGGCGCCGCAAGGCCGAGGCGCACCGGATATGGATAACAGTTGAGCCTTTTGGAGGCAGATTATAATCCATATCCAGTGCGCCTCATGTTTCTTGGGAAGAGAGTCCGAAACTCCAAGACACACTGGATGTGGATATAGACATTGCCCGCGTAAATCAAGGGCATCACTGCAGCCTGTGCTCAGCGACCCATGCCCTCTGCGTTCCAGCGGCGAGGTGGCCCCCACAGGGGTCCTGTGTCCTCTCGCGTGTCCTCTCCAATCGAGCTCGACTGTATGCCGTTTCTCGGAGAGGCACGCGGCGAGGCACGTGGGGGGAGGAGGAGGAGGAGGAGGAGGAGGAGGAGGAGGAGAAGGAGGGAGGAGGAGGAGGAGGAGGAGGAGGAGGAGGAGGAGGAGGAGCAGGAGGAGCAGGAGGAGGAGGAGGAGCAGGGAGGAGGAGGAAGAGGAGGAGGAGGAGGAGGAGGAGGAGGAAGGAGAGGGAGGTGGAGGTGGATTGGGGAGGAGGAGGAGGAGGAGGAGGAGGAGGAGGAGGTGGGAGGAGGAGGAGGGTGGAGGGGGAGCGGAAGGCGGTGGAGGGGGGGGGCAGAGGAGGAGAGGATGAGGAGGAGGAGGAGGAGGAGGAGGAGGAGGAGGAGGAGAGGCGGAGGCGGAGGCGGAGGCGGAGGAGGCGGAGGAGGAGGAGGGGAGGCGGAGGAGGAGAGGAGGAGGAGGAGGGAGGAGGAGGAGGAGGAGGAGGAGGAGGAGAGGAGGAGGAGGAGGAGGAGGAGGAGGAAAGAAGAGGAGGAGGAGGAGGAGGAGGGGGGGAGAGGGAGGGGGAGGGGGGGCGGAGGGGGAGGGGGAGGGGGAGGGGGAGGGGGAGGGGGGAGGGGAGGGGGAGGGGGAGGGGGACGGGGTGAGGAGGAGGAGGAGGAGGAGGAGGAGGAGGAGGAGGAGGAGGAGGAGGAGGAAGAGGAGGAGGAGGAGGAGGAGG